CCCAACGTGTGTCGTTATAATGCGCGTTAAAATCTGCCGCCGCTGCGGCTTCGTTATATCGTATAATATAATAGGTCCCAAGCTGCAGCGTTTGATCGATAATATACATACGCGCGAACGGACACGTTTCGTCCGTTGGCCGCAATTATTAATCAACTCCTTTGTCTCTCTCTCTCTCTCTCTCTCTCTCTCTCTCTGCGATTCTCCGTTTATATGTGTGTATGCTTTCGTATATAGACACACACACACACGTATTAATGAACATTTTGTCGCGCCGACCATAATATATATAGTATAGCATAACGAGATGTCATCTCATTTCTTTGACAACTGCGTAGCTGAGAGAACGAAACGAGAGAGAGAGAGACAGAGTAAAAAAAAACACATACACAGAGGAGGAGGAGAGCGAGCCAACAAAGCCCGCGACGCGCAGCGAGCGAAACATTCTCTATCTTATCTACAAAGTCTCTTTCTCTCTATCTATCTGTGTGCGTCTTTCGCTCGTATACGTACATAATACACGCACACACGGACGGACAAACATAGACCGCAGATTCACGATTCAATTGAATTAAAAGCACGAGAGCGACGTGACACAATTGAAGCTCGTCCAACGTTAAAGCCAACTGCGAAATATATATCATATTTATGAGTCAGTGCAGTCGATCGTCGAAAAAAAAAAAACGGAGAGAAAAATAATAATAAAAATAAATGACGATGATAATGATAATCATAATTGCAACAGCGGAGAGCTCCGTCGCTCGACCTCGTTTATACTTTTTTTTTTTACTTTATACACACGAAAAATACGAGACTAAAGTAATGCTCATCGATGTCAGCCAAGCTCTTCACATTATTATACATGTGCGCGCACTTGTATGCTACATGTGTGTGTGCGTGTGTGTGTATGTGTTTAATCTCGCAAAGGCAATGATTCATTCTCGAGCGGCGAGCACAGGCTTCTCTCTCCTTCTTATCACTCGCTTCAAAAAATTTGTGTACTAACGTACGTTTGTACAAAATGTAGGTATATATATGTAACGCGAGACTCGACGAGACGAGTTTTAAATTGTATTACATTATATATGCAGCATCGAGTATTGCTTTGAGATAGCTCCAAAGCTTCGTGACTCGCTCCAAGGAAGACGCGCTACAATGCGTCGATATATTTTCTTTGCTCTACCTCCTGGGAGCAACCTCTATATGAGTAATCAACTTGTCTAATTTAACTGCGAGTTTTGGATGCGACACCTATTGGTGAATTCTGCAATTTACTCAGAGGTTTCGTGAAATAAATATTTTTTTGACCCATACATACATTTCGTTTTCGTACGAAGAAACTTTGAAAATAAGATCTCCTATATTTCGGAGCAGATTTTCAATCATGCTGCAACTCAAATCCGCACTGGCAAAAAGGTTGCATTGCTTTTAATCTCTTGACTAAAAATGTAAAATTGATACATTTAAAAAAGTTTTCTGTTATCTTAAATTTTATTAAAAATTTGTCGGTAATTAAGAAAAAAAAACAATAAATAACTAGTTTAAACATGAATAATAAGATTTAAAGTGAGTGAACAAACAATTTCTCGTCTGTTTCGACCCTTCGACGCATATTAGAAATAATCGGTCTATCAACAAATTTATCAAAATCTTTCATTAGTGCAAGTTTGATTGATTCAGAGTCACGTATTATTAGGCGAGGTTTATCAAAGATCCAGTTGAAAACAAAACATGAAAAAAACTCTGGGCTGATCGTTGCGTCAATAACTCCAGGCATCAAATAACCAAAAAATAATACAGAGGAATGATAAACAGTCATCTTATCTGGTTGAAAAATATACCCCACGACGAGTAGGGTTGCACGAAAAAACACGAGAACTCGGGATTTTTTCAAGTACTCGAATTTTTCTGACTCGACTAGATCTCGACTCGTCGAGCAAAACTCGAAAAATCAACCTAACCTTGTCAGTGAACAAAATTGTAATGACAATTGATATCCGGGAGGCTAAATGATTTTGGCACAATTTTTATTGAAATTTCAGAAAAAAACATATGTATCTATGCATATTTACAATCATCATTTTTTCTCGCTATTGTAACACACTTAATTTTTATAAACTCCGTGTATTTTCCGTCGATGATTGAGCAATTGCACTTTTTGTCCGAATTTTATATCGCATCTGTCGCATGCGAAATTTTTACGACCTTCATGGACTATTTTTTGGTGTCTCATCAAGTTACATTGTTTTCCAAACTTCTTTTCGCAGTTGTCACATATGTAATCTTTGCGACCTTCGTGTACGGTCCTTTGGTGCAAAAGCAAATACGTTTTAGTTCCAAATCGTTTCTCGCACTTGTTGCATGCATAGTCTTTGCGACCTTCGTGTACTGTCTTTTGATGAAACAGCAAATGATGTTTTTGTCCAAATTTTCTCTCGCATTTTTCGCATGCGTAATCTCTTCAACCCCCGTGAACTGTTTTTTGGTGTCTGAGCGATGCCGATTTTTCTAAAAATTTTTTCTCGCACTTGTCGCACGAGAAATCTTTACGACCTTCATGGACTGTCCTTTGGTGTCTAATCAAATTATATTTTGTTCCCAATTTCATCTCACAACTGTCGCATGTAAAATCTTTGCGACCTTCGTGTACTGTTGTTATATGCACGAGCAAACTATGTTTATTTCCAAATCTCTTTGCACATTTTTCACATAAGTAATCTTTGTAAACTTCGTGGAATATTTTATTGTGCTTATTGAAAGTTGATGTATTTTCAAATTTCCTCTCGCACTTGTTGCATACATAATCTTCGCGTTCTTTGTGTACTAATTTTTGGTGTGTAAACAAACTGGATTTTTTCTCAAATTTTTTCTCACACTTGTCGCAAGCAAAATCATTGCGGACTTTGTGATCTGATATTTGGTGTCTACTCATATGACTTCGAAACTCAAATTTCTCTTCGCACTTGTCCCATGCATAATCTTTTGGTTCATTGGGAAATGTGTTGTGTTGTTTATCGTTTGAAACAACACTGTCATGATTACTTGAATTATTTTCTAAGACAACTTCCTTGAATTTTTCGTCACTTTTATTCATATTGGTGCCGAAATTAAACGATGGATTCTTCTATTTTGTGCTACGGAAATTGAATAAATAAAATTTATCTGTCGGTATAATGAATTGTTTGATCGCCGAAATATAACATTCAAACTTATTTGTTGTTACTATAAACATAATGGTAGACGTGTTTCGTTCTTAATCGTATTGTTTACAATAAAGTTACCGATGTATCTGTTTACACATTCTCCTTACAGACTTTAAACCAGGTTAAAATTCTTACTCGGCGACGATTCATTAGAGGAGTTTTTGGGCCTTTTGAAACTGAGAGCCATAAAAAAACTATTGTTTGACAACATCGAGTTCATACGAAAAAAACATCGAGTAAATAGATCCTGATTTGCATTTCATAATCCGTCTGTTCCACTATCCTGTGCGGGATACTCGTTTGATTTTTGTGAAAAAATCATACGGCGACGAGCACGGACAATCATAATTTCATTGCTTGACTAGCACCAGTGAAACAATGCACCGATTCATAAGTAAATACATAGAAGTCAATCTTGATACATGTGCAAAATTGATTATGTAATTTAAAAGATTAAATTTGTATTTATCAGGGCACTCGAACAGTACTATCGTATCATTATTTAATAAATGTGAGTAAGACTAAAATATTTTTAAATTATCGTCCTTGGATTTGGATGCTCTTTTGGTATATTATAGTAGATTGCGAAGAAGTTACCGAGATTCTAGACCACAATATCACTCGAAAGTGGTACAAATTATATTAACGTCAGTTTTCTGATAAAAAAGAATATTAAACCATCTCCAGGGTTTCGGAAAAGCTTATAACAAATTCAAAAAGCCATTGTCGGCGATTTTTCTCGAAAAGGGACCGAGAAATTTTTTCGATCAATTTTAGCATTAAAATACGTAAAACCGAATATTTTCAGATGTTAAAAGAGGATATTCAGATGAATCTTCAAGTTTGATACTGAAAATGTAAAAAAGAGATTAATCATATTTTTAGCCGGAAGCTTGTTTCGAATGTATTGTCAGTGTTTTTTTATTTACAACATGTCAGTAATTAAAAAACAACGAGTAAATATTAGGAATATAAATAATATAAATAATTAATTGATCCTGGCAGAGAAGTCATTATTTAGAGTAAAATTTTTACAATTATTACAAAATTATGAATAGTTGAAAATATTTCATTGTTTTTTACGAAATTAAAAGATATTTATTTAAAAGATTTTCTAAAATTACATTACATACTTAGGTAAGAGTCTTTTATCACAATTTTCTCAGGTAGTCAAGATTATGTGCTGTCAAATAGTAGTTTTCAAGTTTAGTCCAGTATCTAAGTGCTTTGTAGCTAACCAGTCTCAAAGGGATGTGCCGATTTTAAGTGTTCATCGAGGCTGACATTTGTACGAAATGATTCGGGACAAAATTCACATTTGTAGGGTTCGTAATGCTTATGTATTGAATTTGTGTGATAATCAAGATGACCTCTTTGTCCGAATGATTTGTGACAAATTTCACATTCAAAGGGTTTGATCCGATTATGTACTGAATTTACGTGAGTTTTGAGTACATTCTTGTATCCAAATGATTTGTGACAAATTTCACATTCAAAGGGTTTGCTACGGTTATGTGCTGTATTTACGTGAGATTTTAAATGATCTTTGCGTCCAAATAATTTGTTACAAATGTCACATTTGTAGGGTTTGTAATGCTTATGTTTTAAATTTGTGTGATAATTAAGTTGAGCTCTTTGTCCGAATGATTTGTGACAAATTTCACATTCAAAGGGTTTGCTCCGATTATGTAATGTATTTACGTGATTTTTGAGGTTACTTTTTTGTCCAAATAATTTCTGACAAACCTTACGCTCGAAGGGTTTGCTCTGGTTATGTACTGTATTTACGTGATTTTTAAGTACATTCTTGTATCCAAATGATTTGTGACAAATTTCACACTTGTGTGGTTTGTTACCATTATGTACTGAATCAATGTGAATATCGACGTAAGCCTTGGATGAAAATGTTTTTTGACAAATGTAACATTCGTAGAGTTTGCTTCGATAATGCACCGTTGTTATGTGATCCTTGAGACGATCCTTGCGGCCATATGACTTATGACAAATATCACATCCGAAGGGTTTTTCCTCATTATGGTTTGTGTCCTTGTGACTCTTGAGGTCACTTTGCAGTTCAAATGATCGATGACAAATATTACATTCAAAGGTTTTTGTGTCTTCTTGACCCCCGAGGTCACTTTCCTGTCCAAATGAATCAGAAAAAGTCTCACATTCAAAGGGTTGGCTATGATTATGGTCTGTGTCCTTGTGACTCTCGAGGTCACTTTGCTGTCCAAATGAATCAGAAAAAGTCTCACATTCAAAGGGTTGGCTATGATTATGGTCTGTGTCCTTGTGACTCTCGAGGTCACTTTGCTGTCCAAATGAATCAGAAAAAGTCTCACATTCAAAGGGTTGGCTATGATTATGGTCTGTGTCCTTGTGACTCTCGAGGTCACTTTGCTGTCCAAATGAATCAGGAAAAATCTCACATTCGAAGGGTTGGCTTTGATTATATTCTGAGTTATTGTGATCCTTGAGGTCACTTTCGTGTCCAAACGCATCAGGATAAATCTCACTTTCACAGGGTTTGCTTTGATTATGAACAGTGTCCTTGCGACGTTCGAGGTCACTCTCTAGGTCCAATATATCATCTAAAATCTTAGATTCATAGGGTTTTTGATTATGTACTGAGTCGTAGTGATGTTCGAGCTCATTTTCCAGGTCCAAAAAACCATTCAAAATCTCATATTTAAGGAGTTGGCTTTGATTATGTTCTGTGTCCTGGTGACGTTCAAGCTCACTTTCCAGTACAAATGATTTGTGACAAATCTCACATTCAAAAGTTGTTCTTTGATTATGTATTGAGTCGTTGTGGTGATCGAGCACCGTTTCCAGTTCAAATGATTCATGACAAATCTCACATTTGAATGGCAAATGCATGCTGCCCCATGTTATATCCATGTCTTTTAACCTGATGAATAATTAAGGTTGATTCGAAAAAACTTTTCAAAAAATATAACAACATACGCAAAAAAGCAGTACCTCAATGTTTTCTCTCAACTTTCCATCGAACACTTGATCGTGTGCAATCACTGATAGAAAATAAAATTAAAGTAGGCAATGACGATGTACACCTCGAATTTATAAATTTGTAAACATGACTTGCTCACGTCAGAAATCGAGCACATAACTAGCAATTACAGGCACTACTAAGTTGTTGTAGTGAGGTGATCCCGAGCTTATGGTAGCTTCTTGGCTCTATTTTCCCGCTCTATTGTTAACTGGACATTGATACGCAGCTTTGTACTAGAGGGACTCGGATATTGTTAAAATCACACCAAAATCGTAATGAAGTCATTCAGTTAGGCGCATAAATGCATTACCCACGTCCCTATGAACCCATACCGATAATGTACGTAATGGTACTACACATGTGGTATTACGAATGAGGTTTTCTTTGTCAATGGAGCATTAGATAGGAAAATATCTAAAATAATTGAACAAAAGATATGACTTTTATCAAGGTCATTTGTGCAGTAATGTAATTAATAAGCGATACAATTTTTCACGACAATAATTAAGTTTTTTGGCGAATTTCTTACAAATAAAAAAAATCAATTCTCGGCGATTTGATTCAAAAAGTTTCCGGAAAATTTTTTTACTCAATTTTAGCATCAGAATACATACTATTGAATATTTTTAGATACGTTGAGACGAATCTCCAAGTTTGACACTTAGGATGTAAAAAAGAGATGAATCACATTTTTGCGAGGAAATATTTTGTCAATGTATTGACAGTATTTTTTTATTTAAAAAACCAGCAAATGATTGAATTATAAATAATGAAATATAATCATTTGTCCTGAATAGTGAAATATTAATTGATTGTCCTGAGTTGCGGGGTCAAGTTATGAATCAATTTTTTGAATTTGTACAATGTATCGAAAAATCCTACACGATTATCGTCTACTAATTCTCTTAGCCGAAATAGATCCTCGTCGCTCATATATTCGGCAACTTTGCGACAAAAGGTGTACGGCATGTTCAATCGACATGGGTCAGTCATGAACAAATCGGCTACTAACAATTCCAAATGTGGCCTTATCATAATGTTTGCTAGGTGTCTCTTAACAATAATGCTCAAGTAAGGTAAGTTACGCAGCGATGGTACACGCCAATTATTCATTTTTTTCATAATCAAATAACCTTCCCGATAACCCATTTGGCAAAGTTCATGGAGAGATATGTCGTCGTTCAACATAATGCTATTTAACGTCGCAACTTCGAGCTCCCATTGATTGATTAACCGTGGACTAGGTTCGTACTTGATATAGTCTCGATACAATTTTGGCTTCATTCTGTCGACTTGTTCATGCAAGTAATTGACAGCTTCTTGTTTCATGAAATAACCAAATCTTTCATAAATCATTAGCTCGTTTATGATAAAGTCGTGAGACGAGTCTAGAAATTTACCCTCTGAATTAGAGAAAAAAAATTATTACAATGCAATTATCAAAACTATTGAACTTGAAACGGTAAATGGCCTACCTGGGACGCAAGGAATTAAGTGATCGGTATCGTTTCCTCGAATTTTTACCCAACATTTCAACATCCTACGTCTACCCCAATAGCTCAATCTATAACCAGCCGACTGCAACAATTGCACCACCTCGATCACGTTCAAAGTCAAAGGATAATTTTTCAATTCCAACGTTGTGAAACTCCGACTGAAAATTCTGTACTCGTTCAAGCCGTCCAAACTCGCGCCGTGTTCCAGCAGGCATTTCACGAGGTCTACGTCGAAACAAGACGATGCCGATTGGAGAGGCGTGTCCCCGTGACGATTGCGAGCCTCGATGTCCGCTCCTTTCTTCAGCAGCGCGTCAACGATCCGATCGACGGGTTTCTTTCTATCGCAGAATCGGTATCCGGTGGCGAACTCGTCTAGACACGGCCACGCGAGGGCGTGAAGAGGCGTCGAGCCCTCGAGGTCTCGTTGACTCGGATCGGCACCGTTGTCCAGTAACATTTTCACGATGTCTCTGCTTCTGTATTGGGCCGCGACGTGCAGCGCCGAACACTCGTACGAATCGAGATCGACACCCGCACCTTCGCTCATGAATCGGCCGACTTTTTCTCCGTCGCCGGCCATGCAAGCTCCGTGGAGGTACGAGTAGCCGTGCTTGTCGCTGTAATTTTTCTGCGATTTCTTCACCAGAAAACGGATCAGTCTCATGGTCTCTCCAGGTGCAGTTACGTTGAACCCCAATAAATTGTCGAAATAATGATTTCTTTCTTTGCAGCCGTCCAATTCGGCTAAATAGTGAAGGGCAGATTTCCCATCGTCGAACATAAATTCGTGGATGTTCAACTGAATCGCCTCGAGCAGTTCTATCATTTTGTAGCTGTAATTCTTCAATGCGAATTTCAGAAAATAATTCGTATCTTTGACACTGGAAAATGTTCTCTTATCGTTCAGGGCCTCGGTTAAAAATCTGCGCTGGTAAGCATTCGTTCCGTCCCATTCGTGCGCATAGCGGCAAAATAGTTCGCGTCTCTCGTCTACGTTGTGTTTGTATTTTAATTCACTCAAACGGTTCCGTAATGATGTATTATCGTCGCCTTCTAATGCCATGTTGGAAAAAAATGTTCGATGGATTTAATAAAAAATCTATCACTAAACACGACTGTTTGACCCACTGCACCAACACACGAGACACAACGTTGTTGCACCTTTTTTCCACGATTATAAACTGTAACTACTTTTCGATATTCGTACAGTAGTTTTTATTTTGAATAAATCTAAGTGCACACATACCCTAACTTTTTTACAGTAGCAATGAAATTAGATTGGTCTTATAGACGAACGTGTCGATGTCATCGTTACACGTTAAATATACTTTCTGATACGAAGACCTAAAATAATATCTACTCGATCATTAGTTTGTAAATCCGAGTCTCTCTCTCTCTCAAGTGCTTGTTCAGTCTATCTATGCGCGTACCTAGTATTAGATAAAACTTTTATCGTTACAAACGTTAATATGTATGAGGCTGTGCTTACGAATTACTACTCAGGGAAAAATTGAAAGAAACGCATTATTTTTTTATGAAACCATTGTCAAATTAAAGTAAAAATACCACATTTTATGGAATTTTTATAGCTCTTTTCAAATCTGTAGTAAGATTTACGATATATGCAACCATTTTAAAAATAAATGTGTTTAAACAAAAAAAACGTGTTTTTTGAACATTTGTCTTCAAAATAATCGTATTTTTTACCACGATTACGCATTCGGATTGGGTTAAAACTCTGGATCTGGTGGAATACAGGAGTACACTAAAAGTTAGTGGCATTGGTTCATCCAGATCCAAGGTGGCAACCTCCAGATCCAGAGTTTTAACCTGATCCGAATGCGTAATTCGGTGAAAAATACGATTATTTTGAGAACAAATCTTTTCTATTTGTATTATTTTTTTTTGAGGCCCTGAAGTAATTAAAAAATCTGAAAAAATTCTTGAAGCCATTTTATAACAATCCAAACAACCTCGAATTTTTCAGATTTTTTAAGTGCTTCAGGCCTTCAAAAAAAATCATTGAAAATCTAAATTATTTCATTTACGGTGAAATGGTTCGATATATCAAACTGGAGGATTGCTTTCTCAATTCTGACACCAAAAATCAATTTCTTGAATTTTTTTAGAATTTTTCATTTAAGCCGATGAAGCCTAGAGCTGAAAACTGCTTTTTTCACGAAAATAATTTTTTTAGGGCGGTACGGAACCTCAACAAATCAGAAAAAAATTGTTGTCCTATTTTGTTCATTAAAATACATAATCTCAATTTTTTAGATTTTTTAATTGAAGGCGATAGTGACTAGATTCGAAAAACGCTATTTTGAACGAAAAAAGTTCCTGGAACCCAAAAAAGGTTCCGGTAAAAATGATTTAAAAATTTTTTTTAATTCCTTCTCAAATTTTATAAATTTTGACCGTTTCGTTTTTTTCGATTGAAGCCAACTAGCTCTTTCTAGAGCATAACAAAGATTAATGCAAAATTCTTAAGACTTTCATCAAACTTACATTAATTTTCAAATATTAATCGATTGCTCTAACAAGGACAGCTTTTCGGGTCTGCGTCACAGATCTTTACTAAACTTTTTTCAATACTGCAGCTCCCTGTGCTTAGTTTGATCCAATGGGCCTTAAGGCCCATTTCGTAGAGGATTTTCCACATTATAAAAGAATCTTTGTTATTTTCTATATCATTATAGAGGTACTTGAACGAAAAAGTGCAACGATCAAAAGTTTTTTAATTTTTCAAAGAATCTGCTAGAATTTTTTCAAAAGTTTTGGGACCATATACCACTCTCTTTAAGAAGTCCTAAAATCTATAAAAAAAGCGTCAAATTTAGGCCTCTTAAGGAGGCTGTAGCGAAATTGAGAAAATCTTTAAGTCGGAGTGAAATTTAAACCACTGATAGTTCATGAAATTACAAGATTTTTGGTGAAAAAAATTGGGGGTTTCCGAGCAAATTTGGGAAATAATGAAATTCAAAGTTTGGGATATTAAACATTGAATCAAATGGGAAGTGGCAGTTGCTAGTGTACAATGAGCTCAAATCTCTTTACAAGTTAATGAAATTAATAAATGTTATAAGAAATTTCATCAGCTTTCGAATGATATAATTATGAATGAGTGTTTCCGGGCAAATAAAAAAGATTTTGAGAGTCCAACACATTTATCCTATGTTCTGCCATGCTAACGCTGTACGCTGCGTATCGCATATAGCCTTGCGCATGTAGCGCTCCAACACAGAACCACCTTGCATCGCTACGGCCTCCTTAAATTAAGTGATAGATGGTCCCGAAAATTCTGAAAAAATTCAAGCAGATTCTTTGGAAAATTTTAAAACTTTTGATCGTCCCATTTTTTCGTTGAAGTATTTCTGTATCGATATAGAAAATAACAACGATTTTTTTATAATGTGGAAAATCCTCTACAAAATGGGCCCTAAGGCTCATTGGATCGAACTAAGCACAGGCAGCTACAGTATTGAGTCCAAATCTATGACCCGGACCTGAAAAGCTCTCCTTGTAAGTTGCGGGATACAATTATAAATTAACTTCACACATTTTTTGTGGAATCATTCAAGTTCAAAATACATAAAATTAGATTCATAGACAGAATATCCGTTTTTCGTTATTTAGCCGAATAGCGGATCCTGGCAGAGAAGTCATTATTTAAATTATTATGAAAAAATTGTTAACAGTTGAAAAGATTTCATTTTTTCTCACAAAATCAAAAGATATTTATTTAAAAGATTTTCCAAAATTACATTGCGACTTAGGTAAGAGTCTTTTATCACAATTGTCTCGGGTAGTCAAGATTATGTGCGGTCAAATCGTAGTTGTCAAGTTTAGTCCAGTATCTAAGTGATTTGTGACTAACCAGTCTCAAAAGGATGTGCCAATTTTAAGTGTTCATCGAGGCTGACCTTTGTACGAAATGATTCGGGACAAAGTTTACATTTGTAGTGTTTGCAATGCTTATGCATTGAATTTGTGTGACAATCAAGATGAGCTCTTTGTCCGAATGATTTGTGACAAATTTCACATTCAAAGGGTTTGATCCGATTATGTACTGAATTTACGTGATTTTTGAGTACATGCTTGTATCCAAATGATTTGTGACAAATTTCACATTTAAAGGGTTTGCTCTGATTATGTACTGTATTTACGTGATTATTGAGGTTACTTTTTAACCCAAATGATTTGTGGCAAATTTCACATTCAAAGGGTTTGATCCGATTATGTACTAAATTTACGTGAGTTTTCAGTACATACTTGTCTCGATATGATTCGTGACAAATTTTACATTTAAATGGTTTACTCCGATCATGAACTGAACTTGTATGTCTGTTGAGGTCACCCTTATACCCAAATGATTGATGACAAATTTCACATTCAAAGGGTTTGATCCGATTATGTACTCCATTTATGTGAGTTTTTAGGTCACATTTTCCTGCAAATGATTTATGACAAATATCACATTCGAAGGGTTTGATCCGATCATGTACTGTCATGTGAGTTTTGAGAGTACTCTTTCGTCCAAATGATCTGTGACAAATTTCACGCTCGAAGGGTTTGCTAAGGTTATGTGCTGTATTTACGGGATTATTGAGATTACTATTTGTTCCCAATGATTTGGGGCAATGTGTAATTACACATTCATAGGGTTGTTTCTCATTATGATCTGTTTCCTCATGACTCTTGAGGCTACTTTGCAGTTCAAATGATCGATGACAAATCTTACATTCAAAGGTTTCTTTCTGATTATGGGCTGTGTCTTCTTGACCCCCGAGGTCGTTTTCCTGTCCAAATGAATCAGAAAAAGTCTCACATTCAAAGGGTTGGCTTTGATAATGGTCTGAGTCCTTATGATTCTCAAGGTCAATTTGCAGTTCAAATGATCGATGACTAATCTCACGTTCAAAGTTTGTCCTTGGTTTATCTGTAGAGTCCTTGTGACGCTCGAGTTTACTTTCCAATTTAAATGATTCATTCAAAATCTCACATTCAAAGCGTTGGTTATGATTATGGTCTGTGTCCTTGTGACTCTCGAGGTCACTTTGCTGTCCAAATGAATCAGGAAAAATCTCACATTCGAAGGGTTGGCTTTGATTATATTCTGAGTTATTGTGATCCTTGAGGTCACTTTCGTGTCCAAACGCATCAGGACAAATCTCACTTTCACAGGGTTTGCTTTGATTATGAACAGTGTCCTTGCGACGTTCGAGGTCACTCTCTAGGTCCAATATATCATCTAAAATCTTAGATTCACAGGGTTGGCTTTGATTATGTTCTGAGTAATTGCGACCCTCGAGGTCACTCTCTAGGTCCAATATATCATCTAAAATCTTAGATCCACAGGGATCGCTTTGATTATGTACTGAATCGTTGTGGCGTTCGAGCACCGTTTTCAGTCTAAATGATTCATGACAAATCTCATATTTGAATGGCAAATGTATGCTGCCCCATATTATATCCATGTCTTTTAACCTGATGAATAATTAAGATTGATTCGAAAAAACTTTTCAAAAAATATAACAACATATGTAAAAAAGCAGTACCTCAATGTGTCTCTCAACTTTTCATCGAACACTTGATCGTGTGCAATCACTGATAGAAAATAAAATTAAAGTAGGCAATGACGATGTACACCTCGAATTTATAAATTTGTAAACATGACTTACTTACGCCAGACATCGAGCACATAACTAGCAATTACAGGCACTACTAATTTATTATAGCGAGGTGATCCCGAGCTTATGGTAGCTTCTTGGCTCTATTTTCCCGCTCTATTGTTAACTGGACATTGATACGCAGTTTTGTACTAGAGGGACTCGGATATTGTTAAAATCACACCAAAATCGTAATGAAGTCATTCAGTTAGGCGCATAAATGCATCACCCACGTCTCTATGAACCCATACCGATTAATGTACGTAATGGTACTACACATGTGGTATTACGAATGAGGTTTTCTTTGTCAATGGAGCATTAGATAGTAAAATATCTACAATAATTGAACAAAATATATGACTTTTATCAAGGTCATTTGTGCAGTAATGTAATTAATAAGCGATTCAATTTTTGGTGATAAAAACTAATTATTTTGGCGAATTTCTTTTAGTTTTCAAAAAGACTCACAAATAGATGATACGTCAAATAATTTGTAGCTCAGTCTTGAATGACTCCGGGTAAAAAATGACTGCAGAGCTTTGAAATGGAATTTTTCAAAATTTTTAGATGAAAAATCTAAAGGTCTAAGCACTGGAAGCTACATATTATGGAAAAAAAGTCGAATAATACCCGGAAAAAATAGTCTTTCCATTGTTAGATTCGTGAAATTGTAGTATGCTTTACAAACTTCATGAGCTGCTTTCCTGTGCTCGCGTAATTGCACTTTAGGTCCAAATTTTGAATCGCACGTCTTACATGTAAAATCATTGCGACCTTCTTGGACTGTCTTTTGGTATTTTATCAAATTGGTTCGTTCCCCAAATTTCTTCTCCCATTTGTCACATGGGTAATCTTTTTGACCTTCCTAAACCTTTTTGGTGTTTAATTAAATTGCTCTGAAACCCACATTTTTGATCGCAACTGTCACGTGCAAAATCATTCTGTCCTTCGAGGAGTCTCGTCAGGTGGGTTAGCAAATAAATTTTAGTCAAAAATTTTTTTTACACTTGTCCCATGCGAAATCTTTGCGATTTTCACGGACTGTCTTTTTGTGGGCGAGCAAATGTTTTTTTTTTGTTCAATTAATTTTACTGGGTAATGAAAAATGTACCTTTGGTTCGATTCAATGAAACGAATACAAATATAACCGAAATAATTAATATTTTAATATAATTTTTCACTTTGTGAAACATTTGTTTGTTTGAATCTAACCAAAGGTACCTCCTCCATTGCCGAGTAAAATTAATTAAATAAAACACAGAAAGCATGACTTTGATTAGTTATTTTTGTTCCCTCATTGCTGACTATTTGCCTATGCAGAAGCTCAACCTTGGGCAATACTTTTCGTTGGTGAATTATGTATGTTTAAATACAAAATTCAGCCACATCACGAACAAGCTATGCGATAACGTCTTTCAAAATTGAAAAAACCAACAGAGAGGGCTACTCTCATTTTTGGGCCTTTTTATACCCCTTGGTGTTCCATCTCCCCTCATTATGCCGCAGCTAATGAGATTCGAGAGGTCGGCGTGGACGTTGGAAATAGGTGACTATCTGCCCTACCTTTTTACAACTTTTCCTCGAGATTCTTACGAAACATACCTTTATTCGCGCTTCCCTGCGATCGTGGGACTTTTTCCGAAATTTGACCGACCCTCGCATAGTAGATATCTACATAGTGAGTAGCAAGAATTTTATGATGCACCCGCAGCCATCGATCGACAAAATGAGAACTTCTGCGCGTATCTGTGAGCACATACCTCGCTCAGTTCTTCCAGATTAATATAACTGCTTTAATAAATGTGACTTATTGAAAAATATGAAATGGTCAAAAGCTATATGGGAGGATCAGACAGATTCACAAAATACTTTGCCTGGAGTGAACTGAACACACACTACTTGCAGAGATTTTTCATATATCAAATTTCAAAAATCTATCGAGTATTTTCAGATATATTTAGACGAATCTCCAAGTCTGAAACTTAAAATGTAAAAAGAGATGAAACATATTTTTGTGAGAAAGATTTGGCCAATGCATTGGCAGTATTTTTTTATTTACATTATGTCATTAAACAAAAACCAACGAGTAAATAGTAGAAATATAAATAATATAATCAATTAATTGATAACTAAATTGCGGGATTAAATTATAAATTAATTTTAAACATTTTTTGTGAATCGTTCAAGGCGAGCAAGTTCGGAACACATAAAATTAAATTCATAGACGGAACATCCGTTTTTCGTTATTTAGCCGAAAGACGGATCCTGGTAGAGAAGTCATTATTCAAAAAACAGTTTTTACAATTATGAAAAAATTGTTATCAGTTGAAAAGATTTCGTTGTTTCTCACAAAATCAAAAGATATTTATTTAAAAGATTTTCCAAAATTACATTGCGTACTTAGGTAAGAGTCTTTTATCACAATTGTCTCGGGTAGTCAAGATTATGTGCGGTCAAATGTAGTTGTCAAGTTTAGTCCAGTATCTAACTGATTTGTAGCTAACCAGTCTCAAAGGGATGTGCCAATTTTATGTGTTTGTCGATGTGGTCCTTTGTGCCGAATGATTCGGGACAAAATTCACATTTGTTGGGTTTTTAATGATTATGTTTTCTATTGATGTGATCATTGAGGTTCCATTTTGATCCAAATGATTTATGACAAATTTCACATTCAAAGGGTTTTTCCTTACAATGTACTAAATTAACATGAGTTTTAAGATGATGTTTTTGTCCAAATGATTTATGACAAATTTCACATTCAAAGGGTTTGATCCGATTATGTACTAAATTTACGTGAGTTTTGAGGTTACACTCGTATCCAAATGATCTGTGACAAATTTCACATTCAAAGGGTTTGCTCTGATTATGGACTGCACTTATGTGTTTATTGAGAACATGTTTTCCTCCAAATGATTGATGACAAATTTCACATTCAAAGGGTTTGATCCGATTATGTACTAAATTTACGTGAGCTTTGAGTAACTTTTTGTATCCAAATGATTTGTGACAAATTTTACATTTAAATGGTTTACTCCGATCATGAACTGAACTTGTATGTCTGTTGAGGTCACCCTTATACCCAAATGATTGATGACAAATTTCACATTCAAAGGGTTTGCTCCGATCATGTACTGCACTCAAGTGTTTTTTGAGGGTACCCTTTCGTCCAAATGATTTGTGACAAATTTCACATTCAAAGGGTTGGCTATGATTATGGTCTGTGTCCTTGTGACTCTCGAGGTCACTTTGCTGTCCAAATGAATCAGGAAAAATCTCACATTCGAAGGGTTGGCTTTGATTATGGTATGTGTCCTTGTGACTCTCGAGGTCACTCTCTAGATCCAATATACCATCTAAAATCTTAGATTCACAGGGTTGGCTTTGATTATGTTCTGAGTAATTGTGACCCTCGAGGTCACTTTCTTGTTCAAACGAATCAGGAAAAATCTTACTTTCACAGGGTTTGCTTTGATTATGTTCTGTGTCCTTGTGACGTTCGAGGTCACTCTCTAGGTCCAATATATCATCTAAAATCTTAGATTCACAGGGTTGGCTTTGATTATGTTCTGAGTAATTGTGACCCTCGAGGTCACTTTGCCGTCTAGATGATTGATGACTAATCTCACATTCAAAGTTTGTTCTTTGATTATGTTCTGAGTAATTGCGACCCTCGAGGTCACTCTCTAGGTCCAATATATCATCTAAAATCTTAGATCCACAGGGATCGCTTTGATTATGTACTGAATCGTTGTGGCGTTCTAGCACCGTTTTCAGTCTAAATGATTCATGACAAATCTCATATCTGAATGGCAAATGTATGCGGCCCGACTTTACATCCATGTCTTTTAACCTGATGAATAATTGAGATTGATTCGAAAAAACTTTTCAAAAAATATAACAACATATGTAAAAAAGCAGTACCTCAATGTTTTCTCTCAACTTTCCATCGAACACATGATCATGTGCAGTCACTGATAGAAAATAAAATTAAAGTAGGCAATAATGATGTACACCTCGAATTTATAAATTTGTAAACATGACTTGCTCACGTGAGAAATCGACCACATAACTAGCAATTACAGGCACTACTAAATTGTTATAGTGAGGTGATCCCGAGCTTATGGTAGCTTCTTGGCTCTATTTTCCCGCTCTATTGTTAACTGGACATTGATACACAGTTTTGTACTGGTATTCATAGAGGGACTCGAATAATGTTAAAATCACACCGAAATCGTAATGAAGTCATCCGGTAAGGAGCACAAATGCATTATCCATATCTCTATGAACCCACACAGATGCTGTACCTAATGGTATTACACCTGTGGTATTACGAATGAGGTATTTTCTGTCAATGGAGCATTAGGTAGTAAAATATCTATAATAATTTAACAAAAGATATGACTTTTATCAAGGTCATTTGTGCAATAACGTAATGAATAAGCGATTCAATTTTTGGCGATAAAAACTAAGTTTTTTTTGACGAATTGTTTATAGTTTTGAAAAAAACTTATAAATAAATGATACATTAAAAAAGTCCTAGCTCAGTCTGGAATGACTCCAGGCAAAAAATTATTACAGAGCTTTGAAATGGAATTTTTTAAATTTTTAAATGAAAAATCTAAAGGTCTAACCACTGGAAGCTATATATTATGGAAAAAAGTCGAATAATACCTGGAAAGAATAGTCTTGCCATCGTTAGATTCGCGAAATACTTTGCCTCGATTGAGCTCAATGTACACTACTTTTAGAGATTTTTCCTATCGACAATCGCAAACGTTCATTCATCTTCTGCTTTTACGGAGATTAGATTTAGAGGATGTTGGATGATATTAAGGAATAGTTATTGGTTTGAGGCCAGAATCTACGATGTATATTGGAAAAGAAACATGAGTGAAATTTTAAGAAATCAATTCATGTATCGATAATTCAAAGAACGAAATGAAAACAAAGAATTATTATTTGAGTTTATGTACGTCTGTCGCAACTTAACCCATTAAATCCTGGACGGACACATTTTTGATACTTTTTTGAATCGTAGTTCTTTTTCTAGAAATAGGGTCCGGAGAACTTGCGAGTAAACTAATTGTACGCGAAATTTAATGAACTCTCTGAATCCGGTGTCAGATTATCAATATAACTAACAGATCAAAAGTTATGAATGGTTTTATTAAAAAAACGTGATTTCGAAAAAAAATTTTTATTCTTTTCGAATTTTCACATAAAAATCCATAAATTTTGGCGTCTTCGGTACAAATAAAGCGTCCACGCGTCTTTCTCTTAAAGTATGACGGTTCCAATTAGTGAAATATGATTTTAAGTACAAAAAATGGCGACTGGAAAACGAAAATATATAAGGAAATTTTTGGAATTTTTAACTCAAAAAAATGATGGATTCTTAATATTCATCAACGAACTCATTCATCAGTAAAATTTTACTTATTACAAGACTTTGTAAGTTTTCTAGACCCCATTTTCAGCAAAAGTACCTTGGTTAAAAAAAGTGTCAAAAATAAGTCCGTCCCGGACTAAATGGGTTACAATTATAATCAATTTGAAAAATTTAATTGTTCATCAAAAAATTGAAGGATGTCAATGTGAAAGATAATTCTTAATTATATAGCGTGATAGCATGTGAACGTAAAAATATTCATCGCGTCTTAATGTCATCGAAGAAATCTTATTTTATTTTGCTTTGCTTTAATTGTGTACTGCATTAATGAGTATTTTGAGGACATTATTTCTGACGAATCTCACATTAGAAGCGTTTCAGTCCATTTATCGTTGAGGTCCAGGTAAAACATAACAATTACTGACCAATTTTTATCTTATAGTTTTAAAAGTCCAAAAAATTCCTCGTAGAACTCGTAAATAAGTTAAAATTTTTTAATTTTTTCAAATATTCCTAGGATAATGTGCAAACATATAAATCGTTATCTTGTTTGTAAGCAATGTGATTTTGATGTCGTTACTAATAATTTTAAAGTATAAACAAATCAGTCTGAATATTGTCTTTCCTGACGAAACAATTAATAATACGAAAAGATACATTTTATTTATTCTATTTCCGTAGCTCTAAATAGAAGGATCCATCGTTTAATTTAATCAACAAAATGGATAAAAGTGAGGAGAAATTTAAGGAAGATGTCTCAAAAAATAATTCAAGTGAATGCGACTTTGTTGTCTCAGACGACAAAAAGCATGTGAGTGATATTTTACAGGAGGCATTTATATTAGAATCGAGTATGATAACACATCGAAACACAATTCATAGTACAGAAAAAAACTATTTATGCGGCCAATGTGAGAAGAAATTCGAGTTCCAAAATCATTTGAGTAGATATCAAATATCAGTACACAAAGGCTGCGAGAGAAAATTTGTGAAAAAATCTAATTTGTTTACGTATCCAAAATTAGTTCACAAAGATCGCAAAGATTTCACATGCAACAAATGCGAGAGGAAATTTGAAAATAAATCAACTTTACTAAAACACAAAAAAATATTCCACGAAGTTTTCAAAGATTACTTATGTGAAATGTGCGCCAAAAGATTCGGAAATAAACATAGTTTGCTCTTGCACCTGAAAAGAGTACACAAAGGTCGCAACGATTTCACCTCGAAAATCGACAGAGATTACTTATGTGACAAGTGCGAGAAGAAATTTGAAAATAAATCGAATTTGCTTTTACACCAAAGGACAGTCCATGAAGGTTATAGAGATTTCAAATGTGACGATTGCGAGAAAAATTTTGGAGAAAAATCGAAATTGATTAGACACCAAAAGATAATACATGAAGGTCGCAAAGATTACGCGTGTGACAAGTGCGAGAAGAAATTCGGTCAAAAATCGGTTTTGCTCATACACCAAAGGACAGTCCACGAAGGTCATAAAGATTTCGCATGCGACAAGTGTGAACAGAAATTCACACAAAAACACAATTTACTTGTCCACCTAAGAACATTTCATGATGGTCGGAAAGACTACGCATGCGAGAAGTGCGAGAAAAAATTTGGACAGAAACCAAGTTTGCTAATCTACCTGAGAACAATTCATGGTGGTCGAAAAGACTACGCATGCGAGAAGTGTGAGAAGAAATTCGGATTTAAACATAATTGGCTCCGACACCAAAAGACGATACACGAATGTCTAAAAGACTACACATGCGAGAAGTGCGAGAAAAAATTGGAACAAAAAGTGCAATTGCTCCAACACCAGAAAACAGTTCATGAAGTTCGTAGAGGTCAAGAATGCCTCAATTTCGAGAAGAAAAGATGATTAAAAATTTTAAATATGTAGAGATACTTAATCGTATTTTGATTAAATATCATTTTTTTGCCAAAATGATTGTGTCTTGCTTGAACCTCGTCCTATCAATACACCTTTGTTAGCTGTTGTGGTGATGCTTTATTTATAACCAGAGAAATGTTTATTTTTCCTTACAGTGCATTTTTTAGCTATTTGATTAAGGCATTTATTAACGCAGCTATCAGCCCTGGATTTGTGATAAACCTCATCTTATAACACCTGACCCTGAATCAATCAAACTTGCAGTAATGAAAAATTTTGATAAATATGCTGATAGTCTGATCAGTTCTGATAAGAGAGACGTAGAAACCAATTAACAAGTTAATTTAGACCCAATAATCTTTTCCACATTTCTTCAAAATTAGTAAAATTTCTCATGATTGTTTTACCTTTTCTTAGTACTTTTCTATCTATCCAAAATTTCAAATTGACAAAATGAAACTAAAATTTTATCGTATAGCTACGTCAAGTATTAAACTAGTACACAGTTAATCAATCAATGGGAGTTCCAAGTTGAAACGTTAAGTAGCATAATGTTGAACGACGACGTTACGCCCTATAAACTTCGCCAAATAAATTAATTACGAGTAAGGTTATTCCATTTCGAAAAATGAATAATTGGCACGTGTAATTTATATCACTTGAGCATAATTTTTAAAATACACATTTCAAATATTTCGATAAGGCCACATTTCGAATTGGTAGTAGCTGATCTATTCATGACTGATTCATGTCGACCGAATCTGCCGTATACTGTTTACGACGAGATACTTTGTTTGAGTAAGCAGATGATCCTCGTGACTGATTTTGTGATAGATTGATCAAATTTGAAATGTTTATTCATAAACAGGGATATTAAAATAATACAATCCATTTGCCAGCTGCGGACCTCAAAATTATGGAATTGATTTTGAACTAGCACTAAATATTATTATTACATCATAAAAAACTGTTCGCGTAAATTCAGTAGGTCACTTAATCAGTACCAATAGTATATCGTTATACGACAAATGTAAATATTTTCTGCGATCTCATACTCCGTAAAATTTGTGTACTCGATCGAAGAAGCTTATTTCGTCGCACTCTCGACGATTTGTTTAAACTTTTTTTTCTACTTTTATTATCAATCTCATGGAACGCATACAATCGCTATGTGACAATGTCTCTCGAGCTCCTCGTATGATACGTCGGCGCCGGTCACGAGATTCTAATTTATTATCTTTCGTTCCCGGTACATCGACGCCCGACTGGTTCCGAGAAGAACGAGGTCATCGTCACGAGCCTTTTTTTTTTTTTTTTTTTTTATTATTATGTGTCGGCGCGCGNTTTTTTTTTTTGTTTCATTATTATGTGTCGGCGCGCGAGAGCATTATAATATACGCATGAGATAATATCGCACGATGCCAGCGCTTATTAGGCAGCTACGTATTATATATTTTGTACAACAACACGTGTGTGTGTGTATGTAGGTATTAATAAGCTTTACGATTATCATTACGATCGGCAGCGAGCGAAAAATCCTTTTTCTCTCTCTCT